CTTGTGTTATTTAAAATTATTTTTTTAACAGAGTGGACAGTTAGCGCCCTTGGTCATCGAGTGATAGGCGCTTGTGTTATTTATCAATAATTATTTGTTAAACAGAGGTGCCAGTAGGCGCCTGGGGTCATTGGGTGGTAGGCACTTGTGTTATTTAAAATTTTTTATGTAACGGAAAGGCCAGTTAGCGCCCTGGGTCATGCAGTGATTGACGCTTGTGCAATTTTGATTATTATTTATTCAACTGAGTGGCCATTTAGCGCCCCAGGTCATTGGGTGATAGGCGCGTGTGTTTATAAAATAATTATTTACTTGACAGAGTGGCCAGTAAGCGCTCCAAGTTACTGAGTGATAGGCGCTTGTGTTATTAATAATGAATTACTCAACAGAGTTACCAGTTAGTGCTCCGTATTATTGGGTGATAGGCGCTTATCATCCTGGGTCAGAAGGTTATACGCGTTTATGTTATTTTAATAATTATTTATTTAACTAAGTGGCCAGTAAACGCCCCAGGTCATTGGGTGATTGGAACTTGTGGTATTAAAAATTATTTATTTAACAGAGTGGCCAAAAAAAGCCTCAGGTCATTGAATAATATGCGCTTGTTATATTAAAAATTATTTATTTAACAGAGTTACCAGTAAGTGCTCCATGTCACTGAGTGATAGGCGCTTGTGTTATTTAAAATTATTTTTTTAACAGAGTGGACAGTTAGCGCCCTTGGTCATCGAGTGATAGGCGCTTGTGTTATTTATCAATAAATATTTGTTTAACAGAGGTGCCAATAGGCGCCTTAGGTCATCGAATGATAGGCACTTGTGTTATTAAAAATTTTTTATACAACGGAAAGGCCAGTTAGGGCCCTGGGTCATGCAGTGATTGGCGATTGTGTAGTTTTCATTATTATTTATTCAACAGAGTTGCCAGTAAGCGCCCCAGGTCGTTAGATGATAGGTGCTTGTTTAATCAAAAATGATTAACTTAACAGAGTTGCCGTTAAGTACTCCAGGTCATTGGGTAGTAGGCGCTTGTAATATTGTAAAATTAATTATTCAACAGAGTGGCCATTTCACGCCAAGGGTCTTTGGGAGAAAGGCACTTGTGTTATCAATAATTTTTTATTTAACAGAGTTGCCAGTAAGCGCCTTGAATCATTGAGTGGAAGGTTCTTGTGTTATTAATAATTAACTATTTAACAGAGTTGCCTGTAAGAGCCTTGGGTCATTGGGTGGTAGGCGCTTGTGTTATTAATAATTGTTTATTTAACAGAGTTACCAGTAAGTGCTGCATGTCATTGAGTGATAGGCGCTTGTGTTATTTATCAATAATTATTGGTTAAACAGAGGTGCCAGTAGGCGCCTCAGGTTATTAGGTGATAGGCACTTGTGTTATTTAAAAATTTTTATATAACGGAAAGGCCAGTTAGCGCCCTGNTTCTTGTGTCATTAATAATTATTTATTTAACAGAGTTGCCAGTAAGCGCCCTGGGTTATTGGGTGATAAGCGCTTATGTTATGAAAAATTATTTATTTAACAGAGTGGCTAGTTAGTGCCCTGGATCATTGGGTGATAGGCACTTGTGTTATTAATATTACAATTTGGAATTTTCGCGTGTTTTTGACAATGCTCCTTCACTGCTGTTCTGTCTGCTTGACGGAACATTTTCCCTAGATCGTATAGCTATATATACGGTCGAGGGAAAAAGTTCCGATATTGAATCCGCCTCACCTAACGCTTGCCTAACCCAACGCTGGCTTTTCTGCGCTTTCCATCTCGACGCTATATTTGAGGGAGATGTAAGGACCACAGCGCCAAAGAATCTATACAATGAAACGAAGTGGCCAAAGTTGAAACTAAAACCTTTTCCCCGCATCAACCTTGAAGTGTGACATATATATATAGACATACGTTTGAATATACATGTACGTCAATTGATGAATGATTACCTGTTTAGTCAGTTTTTTCTGTGTAAATATTTACGAATTGTACGTTTGGTCACTAAAACAACTGGAATGAAAATCTAGAAGTAAAAAACATATATTGTCTCACTAGTTTCTTGATGTTAATATGCTTTATATTTCAATTGCTTTAGAAATTCGGAGACAGACATGGCGGCGCGATGGAAGCGTTCCTGATTGGTCAATCAAAATCGATGCGCAACGCCACACCTTATGTTCTTTCATCATGCTTTTACCCTTGTTTCATAACCTTTTAACGTAATTGTTATACAGAACACTGAGTGATGTTTTTTTTTATGTTCAATTAAATCTGCTGCTTACATACTGTCGAAAGATACCAAGAAAAACCACAAATTCAAAAAATTACTTGTTTTCTCTAATCTCAGTGTAAATTATTTTTTTAAATTTAAATCTTGCAAGCATAAATCATGAAAACCAAAAAAAAGGTGAGAATTGTTGAAAGAAATAAACACCTAGTATATTAGACTTTCTTGTATTGTGAGCTCTGCGTTACATCAAAACCTACAGTTTATTAAATCAATTCGAAGATCATACAATTTCTTTAAAATTTTAGTACATAAAACAGTGTCTTTATTAACACCAAATCTACGTTTACATGCATGTAGTGCTTTAGTATAATATTGACTTATTAACATTGATTTGTCGCAAATAGACCCAGCATACAATATAAAGTCAATTAAAAACATTTTCCAAATCCAATTTAGTTCATTTGCAACTTTTTCAAAAATTAAAAATCTACACATAGATTACCTTAAGGATGTGAACTGTTGCAATCCTATAGACCCTCCAACAATAAAAACTAGAAATGGTATTAAAAATTTCAAATTTTTATTGTAAAACAGCTGTTGTATGACATCCTAAAAGATTGAAGAGTAACGTTAACACAAGTATATACTACCAAAAAACTTTTTATGTAATAATACCTTCATGATAGATTTCTAATGAGTCTACATCAAGAAGCACTTAATATCATATTGGGACTTAACAAAATGTTATTTTTTTACTCTAAAAATTGTGTCCCTCTTGCAAGTTTTTATCGTTTTTCGTTTCCGAAGGTCCAAGTATCGTGAAATATCGAACGATGTATCGAATTATTCGAATATTGCATTTTCACTATGCGACACCGAACGAGCGAACTGCTAAATAGAACTCATTCCGGATGGCGTACTGAACTACTGAACTGACCTACTAAAGATAGACGAACAGTATAGTCATAGAGACATTATAAATCTCTTAATAATATCTCTACGGCAGTAGTGGGTTTCTGACATGATTAGGATGTTTCCAACACATACCTGTAACAAAGATTTAACTAACATCCTCAACTCGTAATTTTGTAAGAAATGTCAGAAACTCTAAAATACTCTTCAAAAGTATAAGAATCTGATTTGTGTAAGCACAAAACACACTTACTGGCCACTTGATGAAATAATATATTGTTAATTATTAATACAAAGGGCCTATTACCTGATGACCCGAAGCGCTTACTGGCCACTTTATTAATTAGTGAAGTACGATCAAACTATACACAAGTGTCAATCACCAAATAACTCAGGCCCCTACTGCCTGAAAAGAAATCTTGTTGAGGTGAACGAGAGTTCCTCTAGAAAATAACTAAATAGCCTATGGAGGACCTACTGAAGCAAAGCAACGCGGCGTCAGTGGTGGGTAAACGACGTAAATAAGAGGTTCCTTACTCTACATGTAAATTCCCTGTAAGATACCTAAAAATGTCAAATTGTCTGATTGTCAAAAACCAATGCGCGTGCAAGCGACTCGCGGCGGTGGGACAGTCAGACTCGTCGGAGTTTCGCCGTTTCGGACGGAGGACGGAGGTCGTACTGTTAACTGATTACAACCTGCCGTGTGTTCCAGTAGCGCTCTCCGACAACTTACCGACAAATTAAACATGACGCAAGATATCGTAAGACATAATTAAGTTGTCGGTAAGTTTTCGGAAAGCGTTACTGGAACACACCCCAGTAAGCCTAAAAGTAGCACCGAACGTAAACAATAAATTGAAACAAGGTCTACCAACACAAGCGCCTATCACCCCAAAGCCCGGGATGCTTCCTGGCCACTATGTTAAATAACAAAATTTTTAATTAATAACGCAAGCGTATATCACCCGATGACCCAGAGCGCTAACTGGTGACTCTGTTAAATATATAAATAATTAATGAACAACACAAGCGCCTATCACCCAAATACGCGAGGCGCATGGCTACTCGTATAAACAATAAATTATTAAACACAAGGCGTATCACCGGATGACCCAGGGTGCTCACTGGCCACACTATTAAATAATTATTAACTATTTATTAACTAATAAGACAAGCGCCTATCACCCGATCATCCGGGGAGCTTACTGGCTACTACGTTATTTATGGGTCATTATATGATAGGTGCTTGTGTTATTCTTAACACTTTAACAATTATTACAGTGGCCATTAAGAGTCCCAGGTCATTGGGTGATAGGCACCCCACCTGGAAAAAAATGTCGGAAATCTATGTAGAATTACTTCTGTAATACTTTCAGGAAAGCCATATGGCATTACACACGGTTTTACATATGGCATTACATAAAATATTTTAGCTTGGTGATGCCATATGTAATTCGATATGGAAAAACACACGGAATTACTAATTGGAAAAAGAAAAAATTTCTATCATCTAAAAATAACTGCAAAATACCATACCAAGTTATTTGCAGTTAACAATTTATCTTACTATTGGGATGATAACTCCAAAACAAGGGAGTTCAGCTGATTTTATTTCTATATAAAAAAATTTAATTTTCCCCAATTTTTTTTTTTTATTCCTAAAATATAACTTGAATCCCCTTGTTTTGGAGTTATCATCCTGATGGTCACACTAATTGTTGACAGTAAATGACGCATTACAGTATTCTGCAGTTATTTCTAGATGACAAAATTTTTTTCCTTTTTCCAATTTGTAATGCTATGTATTTTTTTTATGTTTTACAGAGTGGCCAGTAGTTGCACCAGGTCATCGGTTGATAGGCACTTCTGGTAATGATAATTATTTTTTGAACATAGTCGCCAGTAAGCGATCCAGGTCATTGCGTTTTTAATTACTATGTATTTAACAGAGTGGGCAGTGAGCGCCCCGAGTCATTGGGTAGTAGTCGCTTCTGATTCAAATAATTATTGATTTTACAAAGTGGCTACTAACTGCCTCGAGTGACTGGGTAATAGGCGCTCGTAATATTTAAAATTATCTAATTAACTTCGTAGCCAATTAGGGTGACTCATCATTAGGTTATAAACACTTGTGTTATAAATACTGATTCAATTAACTAAGTTAGCTGTAAGCGCCGCGGATCATTAAGTGATAGGCACTAGAGATATCAATAATTATTTATTCAACAAAGTTGCCAGTAAGCGCCCTGGGTCATGGGAAGAAAGGCGCCTGTAATATTAATAATTGTTTATTCAAGTACTTGACTCGTAAGAGCCCTTGTTTACAGGATGATAGGCGCTTGTAATATTCATAGTCATATTAATAACGTAGTGGCCCGTAATTGCCCTGGGTCATTGAGATATAGGCATTTTTGTTATTAATAAGGAATTATCAAACAGAATTGCCAAAAAGTGCCCTGGGTCATTGGGTAATAGGCGCTTACCTGTTTTATTAAAAATTATTTATTTAACTGAGTGGCCAGTAAGCGCCCCGGGTCATTGGGTGGAAGGTTCTTGTGTTATTAATAATTATTTATTTAACAGAGTGGCCAGTAAGCGCCCCGGGTCATTGGGTGATAGGCGCTTGTGTTATTAAAAATTATTTATTTAACAGAGTGGCCAGTAAGCGCCCTGGGTCATTGGGTGATAGGCGCTTGTGTTATTAATAATTATTTATTTAACAGAGTGGCCAGTAAGCGCCCTGGGTCATTAGGTGATAGGCGCTTGTGTTATTTATTTATTAATTATTTATTTTACTAAGTGGCCAGTAAGTTTCCTTTGTCATTAGGTGATATGCGCTTGTGTTTTTTATTAATAATTATTTATTTAAAAAAGTTGCCAGAGTAATAGGTGCTTGTGACATTTATTATAAATTATTTATCCAACAGGTCGGCCAGTAAGCGCCCCGGGTCATTTGGTGATAGGCGCTTGTGTTATTAATAATTATTTATTGAACAGAGTGGCTAGTAAGCGCCCTGGGTCATTGGGTGATAGGCGCTTGTGTTGTTTGTAATTATTCATTAAACAAAGTTGCTAATTAGCGTCCTGGGTCATTTGGTAATAGGCGCTTTTTATATCAAGAATTATTCATNTTTGTTTTTTATTTCTGAAATATAACTTGAATACCCTTGTTTTAGAGTTATCATCCTGATGGTAGCACTAATTGTTCACAGTAAATGACGCATTACAGTGTTCTGCAGTTATTTCTAGATGACAAAATTTTTTTCCTTTTTCCAATTTGTAATTCTATGTGTTTTTTCAAATGGAATTACATATGGCATAACCAAGCAAAAACCTTATGTCATGCCATACGTAAATCCATATGTAATGCCACATGGCTTTCCTGAAGGTATTACAGAAGTAATAACACATGGAATTCCGTCTTTCTTTTTCAGGTAGGCAGTAACCTCACTGGGTCATTGAGTAATAGGCTCTTGTAATATTAATAATTGTTAATCCAACAAAGTGGCTCGTAAGAGCCCTTGGTTACTGGATGATAGGTGCTTGTAAAATTCTTAGTCATATAATTAACGCGCGTGTGTTGATATAATTATTTATTTAAAAAAGTGGCCAGTCAGCGCTTTGGGTCCTTGGGTGAGTGGCGCTTATATTGACTTTAATTATTCATTTAACAGAGCGGCCAGTAAGCACCTTGGGTCATTGGATAATAAGTGCTTGTAATATTCATAATTGATTATTTAATAAAGTTTCCAGTAAGCGCCACAGGCCATCGGGTGATAGGCACTTGTGTTATTATCGATTATTTATTTAACAAAGTTGCCAGTAAGCGCTCTGGATCATTGGGTGATGGGCGTTTGCGTTGTTCATAATTATTTATTTAATATAGTTGCCAGTCAGCGCCCTGGTCCCTTGGGTAATAGGCTGTTGTAACATTAATAATTGTTTACTAAACAGAGTGACCACTTAGCGCCCCGGTTTATTACGTGATAGGCACTTGTAATATTAATATTTGTTTATTTGGCTAAGGGGCTAGTGAGCGCCTCTGGTTACTGGGTAAAAGGCGCTTGTAATATTTATAATTATATTATTAAATAAGTGGCCAGTTATTGCCTTGGGTCTCGGAAGATGTTCGGCGTTTGTGTTGTTTATAATTATTTATTTAACAGAGTTGCCAGTAAGTGCCCTGTTCTACTGGGTAATAGGCATTTGTAATATTATTAATTGTTCATCTAACAGAGTGACCAGGAAGCACCGCAGGTCATTGGGTGATATGCTCATGTTTTATTGATAATTATTTATTGAACAGAAATGCCAGTAAGCGTCCTGGCTCATTTGGTAATAGGCGTTTGTGTTGTTTATAATTATTTATTTGACAGTGTTAGCAGTAAGCAGTCCAGGTCATTAGGTAATAGTCTCTTGTGTTATTAATAACTATTTATTTAACAAAGTTGCCGATAAGCCCACTGGTCTATTGGGTGATTGGCATTTGAAATAGTAATAATAATTTATTTAACAGAGAGGCCAGTAAGCGCATCGGATCATTGGGTAATAGGCTCTTGTGTTGTTAATAATTATTTAATTATCAAAAATGCCAGTAAGTCCTCAGTTTATTGGGTGAAAGGCGCTTTTAATATTTATAATTATATAATTAAATGAGTGGTGAGTTATTGCCCTGGGTCATAAGACGATAAGCGTTTGAGTTGTTTATAATTATTTATGTAACAGACCCAGCTGAAAATTTGTTATAAGATCTTACATAAGTTTTTGCATAATTTCTTATGTAATTGTCCTAGATCATTGGGTGCCAGGCGTTTGTGTTGTTTATAAATGTTTATTGAGTAGAATTGCCAGTAAGCAGCCTGGTTTATTGTGTGATAGGTGCTTGTAAAATTAAGAATTAT